ATAGCAAGCAGCGACCACCAGCTTTCCGTTGGCAACTTACTTACTTACTGCGCTGCAACTACAGCTGCAACCGCTAGGCCAGCAGGCAAGGCGTAAATCATCGGCGCAGCAATTTACATAACACACCGCACTGCACCGCGATTTAGACCTTACTTCAGGTCAACCTAACCCCGGGACCTGCAGTCCAGCTAGGGCCATCTCAGCTGACGCAGGTAGTCGAAAAAGGCGGCTCTGGCTGTAGCTGTGACATATAATTTCGTCCCCCCCACACGCCTTACTATCACTGGTAGCTTTCAGGGTCTGAATCCTTCACCGCGCCATCGCCGTCGTCGCTCGTTTCGACGTCCTGAACAGCTCCTAGTGGCTAAGTCCCAATTATTATTTCGCCCAACTGTGACTCGGCGCAGCTCTCTCGCCGGACCGCCGAAATCAAGAGGCGTTCGCTTCACTCGAAGCTGTAGGGCAGGTGTTCCCATTTCGTTCGTGGCATTGTCTCTCTGGCGGCTCTGCTTTTGCTGGTTCACGCACGAGAAGGATTACTTCTGAGGGCGGGTAGCTAGTCGGATCAAGTACATACCTAGATCTTGTTCAAGGTCCGAGTCATTGTTCCAAGCTGTCCTCGGCTGCACGTGCTATTCTTAGACTACGGATGCAGGGCGCGGATTTCAGGAACCCACCTCGCAGAAGTGAGCAATCGCCTTTTTTCACGTCAGCGCAAGTTATTCTTCTATGCACCTAGCTCAGGGTCTTCGGTCCGAGGACGTTTGCAGCCAAAACATGGCAAGCTTCACAGCGCTGAACGGCGCCGAGGCAAAGAGCTCAGAGGGCCCAAGCGGTAGCCCAGTCGCGAAACGCCCGGCGTCGGAGGAACCTTCCGGCAGCCAATTGCCGGCCCCGGAACCGAAGAACGGAGAAGTATCTACGAATCAACGGGAGAGTTGGGCAGGTCGGACCGCAGAAGGATCCTCTTACCAGTCAGCGACCTATCCCGACGTCGAAGGAGCACACAAGCGCAAGAGGACCAACTCCCCCGAACCTTCAAGAGAACATCAAACTGCGCGGGAACGGCAGCCCGAATCACGTGATGCATACGTGACTCCGCAACGAGAACGAGATTACAGGCCCTTTGGGGAGGAGAAGCGAGATTCTCATGCGCTTTGGTATGCGCAGCAGGGTCGGGAGGATCGCATTGCTTACGACCAACAAAATTCGGCTGGGGCGGCCTCGCAGCCTGATGATCAAATAGGGGATTCTTATCGAAGAGGAACGAGCCACAACGAGTCTCAACACGAATACCCGGCTACAAGTCCCGACGGGGAAGATACCCCAGGGGGGATGTATGGAGGATCGTATACTCCTGATGACCATAGAGATGGCGCTGTCCAGTCTGACCCGAAGAAGAGGAAGCGGAACTTCAGCAACAGAACGAAGACGGGCTGCCTGACCTGTCGGAAGAGGAAGAAGAAGTGTGACGAGTCTAAGCCCGAGTGTAAGTTAGCCGAGTCTCGGGTCAACGGTAGTCAGTTGCTGATTGTAGAGATAGGTACCAACTGTGTCCGTGGCGGCTTCATTTGCCAGGGGTACCCCAACCAACGAGGCTACCAGAAGTTAGAGAATAAACCTTCGGCGGTTCCGCTCGAGTCCAAGGATCCTAGCTATGTGCCCCCTGGGGCGTACGGGATGCCCCAGCCGCAGCCGAGTAACTATCCCAACCCGCAACCACCAGGTCCGAAGCGGGATCCAGTCCCGCCGTATCGTGGTCAGCCACTTCGAATAGATCCGCCTCAAGGCCGACCCGTCCTGACCGACGACGACCGACCAACAGCGTCGACGATCTCGACGATCCCAACAGCATCGGTTGCAAGCCCCGACAACAAGATGTCCGCCCTTTCAGCATATCCCGCAAACGCTTTTCCGACGCCGATCAGCGCTGTTAGTTCAGTGCAAACGAATTCTCTACCGACGCCTTTAAGCTCTGTGGATAGACCGAAAGAATATCCACGAGTACCGCCTTTACACGACCTCACCCGCACTGACCCAGAAACTCCTCACCCCGGATCGCTACCGCAGATTAATATTCTTCATCCGACTCGGGCTAGTAGTCCAATACCGCCGCCGCCGCCGCCTCCGCCGCCACCCTCGACTAACCCTCAAGTTGCAGCTCAACTCGCTCTATCTCATCCATTTCCTGGCGGAAGGCAACGAACGCAGAAAGAAGCAATGCTGCAAGGCCGGGAATATTTTCCATTTGACCGCGAGTTAATGCTGGAGCGCCAACGATGTAGCGCGGCCTGTTGGAGATTCAACAACTCGACGAACCCCAACACAGGCGTCTCGGGATCCGAACGGTCTCGTCTTTTTCGGGAGATTCTGAACCCAACCGAGCCGGTCAACATATCTCCACAGATGGCATCTCCGGTCACTAACGTCGGCCGCGTCGGCGCAGAAGTTGTCGTCGAGGCTCCATTCACATGCGATTATGGATACAATCTTACTATCGGGAACCATGTCTTTATTGGTCGAAACTGCACGATAATCGACCCTATGGAGATCAAGATCGGCAACAACTGCTATATCGGCCCGAATGTGAGCCTCTTTGGAGCTACTTTGCACACCGACCCCAAGAGGCGACAAGGGAGCAAGAGCGCACATGTTGGGGCTCCCATCACCATCGATGAGGATGTATGGATTGGGGGCGGTGTGATCATCATGCCGGGGCGCAAGATTGGAAGAGGAGCAACTATCGGTGCCGGTTCCGTTGTCACACGGGTAAGTACAATCACAGCCGTCCCATCATGAGGACACCTCGCTAATTTGGTTCTAGGATGTGCCGTCCTTCACTGTCGTGGCCGGCAACCCTGCTCACGTTTTAAGGGGGGCTAGCTTTTGAACGTCTCACGAAAGACATCCTTCCTTATCTTGCGTATTGCTCGTTTCGCCTCACGCTCATGATCAGTTATGATACCCAATGCCATGCTTGTATTCCTGTCTGCGTTTTTGCTTTTGCCCTCTTCCGATTTTTGCTCACTTGTACGAATACCTCTTACGGCCGTATTAGCTCATCAATTCCTTGGATATGGGAGATATAACATCTGGCAGGGCGTTATTAAACAGAGAAGAGCGGGTCTTTTTATGCTATTGTTACGAGTCGACTTCTTTAGAGATATTCTTCACGCCCTGTATTTCCTGCTTTCTGTTTTGGAGCGCATCCTGTTTTGCTGAATCGGAGGAATTACAAAAATACACGGAAGGGAATGGATGGGCCGGTCATAGCCGCGGTGTGTACACGGAAGGGGGCCGGATATCCCTAGCTTCGGCAGCTCTGGGAGCTATGTTTCAATGGGATGAAAGCCATATTTTTTGTGAAGGTCTATATTCATTGCACCGGTTCGCCCTGCTCCTTGTGCTTGCTTTTCGTGTCGAGCAATCGGGGGCGGTCTGGGTCCGAGCTACTCTACTCGTCTTTTAAGGATGCTCAACTCTCTTGGGCTCCCACCGCGCGCCTCTCTAGCTATACTATATGAACTATCTGGTTACAAGCGAGCATCAGCATTGCAGTATTGCACCCCGTGAAGATGTAAATATGCATAGTAATGCGCCTAATAAATCCTATCGTCATATCTTCTTTATGCCGACTAAGACTTTAATATTACATATAACTTTTTACATATGAGGTCGTGGCGTACACACCCAGGAGATACTAATAAGCATGCGTGTAGTTGTAAAGGTAACTACATATTCCATATGCAGATCGGTACCCCGTAGCCCCGTGTAGCAAAGAGCAGCTTCGAACCGCGCTCCGCTCCACTCCACCGCGGCACGAAGAGTGCAGGGTTGGGGTTTGAAGTGCGGCGAGCGCGGCTATTCCGGCGCTGGTAATTGCAATCGTCCTCGGATGTCGGACAGATACGAATATTGTAGGTAGTTATTCGTATACAGTACCCTGATGCCAGCTTTAAAATCCTAGTAGTAACGCCACAACCACCTAGGAATTAACAGAGGAATATTAACTATAGTTATACATACATACCTAGGTACCTACTAGGTAGTTGCTTATTGTATCATTAAGCTCGGAGATGCCTACACTCTACCCCTTGTATTATAGTATGAGGGTCCGGTAATGCCTTAGTATCTACAATCTGTTATCACGTATTCCAAATGTTCGTTTCTATAAGAAAGGCTTATGTTCGGGATAATTGGGTACAAAGCAGAACACCCGATAATCACCCCATGGTACCGGACCCTCATACAATAATACAAGGGGTAGAGTGTACCTACATAGCTTTATAACACATCCAAGAACCCGAGGCGAGGTCCGAGAAGCCATCGTGAACACTACGAGGTATGGAAGAGGCCCCTCCCCATCGCGTATTCGGGACAGCCTGGGCGAAGCGTTCGGAACAGGCACGCCGAAGGTCCCTCCTACATACCTACTACATATGTATGTATATACCTAGTGGACGTCCCCCAATATATGTAGATCCTACAGCACCTACCTAGCTAGACACGTGGTGCTAGACTGCAGACTTCGTAACATGCTGGGCAGGTAACCGAACTATTCGTAACGCAGGTAGGCATGTAGGTATGTGCATAAAATAGTGACAGATCGCGCGCTTCGGCAATGTCCCATGACTGGGTACACATATATATGTGCGCTTACTAATAAGAGAGCTGAGAGGCAGACGCAGCGAAGTTAGGCCTGAAAGGGCATCATCCCCGGCCCCATGCGCGGTTTGTCCAGGGTATGTACCCGACCTCCAGCCTCCAGCTGTAGCTACATGTAGACTAGTGCCTACGGTACCTAGGGTGGGTAATATGCTATAGCTCGGGATTCTCGGGTATTGGCATTGCCCAGCCAGAAGAACGAACCCCGCTACTCCCAGAGAATTTAGCGCGACGAGACCGCCAGTCGACCCAGTCTCCATCCCGCCGCCCCTGGTTGATCTTACCGTGCCTAGTAGGTATAGTACCCGATAAGATCGGCAAATTCAACAACAAATGCCCGGATGGTCTAGAGGTATGATTCTCGCTTTGGGTTCCCACCTTAGCATGCGAGAGGTCCCCGGTTCGATCCCGGGTTCGGGCCCAACCTTTTTGCCTTCTCTGCAGCAGCAGCAGCGAGAATGATGAATGAATGAAGTCTCGTTCTCTAGTGAAGTTAATCTTTTCTATTTTTGTTTTCTTGGTCTCCTGAGTTCGATTTCCGAGATGTTGGTAACTCGGACGTCGAGCGTTCCAGATTCGACCATGGGTTTCGGAACTTGGGCAGAGCGCTTTTGAAAATGAACATGAGGCTGAATATGAACATGAGGCATAGACTTACTGAGGTTTTGTTTCCTGTGCTTACGTTGCTCCTTTCTTCAACTTTACCAAGTATAGCTACGATCTCAATGCTTATGATAAACAGCACGTGACTCATAACAACACTTAACCTGCTTAACATATATGATGCTGAGTGACTACTGCCTCTGTAGGCTATTAGCCGTCTCTGAGGATAGGCTTGTCACCCGGGTTAGGATTAGTGCGCCATGCCGGCCTGAGATGCTGTCGGCGAGACCTACGACATAGTAAATCGATGTCATCTAGGCTGCAAGCGTACGAATCATGTTCTTGGGAAGGGCAATGCGGGCGAACATGTTGAGCTTGGTCGTCTGCTTTAGCCGGATCCTAACTAACCCTTTCGACTACCGTCTTGACAGGGAATGAATGCTGCATCACGGTTTGATGGACTCCAGCTAGACCATAGAAATGCGCACCAATCGCGACCATGCTAGTTGGAGAAGAGGTAACGACGAAGGAGGAAGAAATACGGTAGCGACGAAAGCGAGACGGGAAATGCTCATTACGGCTTGGCCTATAAGGTAGTGTGCGGTGCAGTGTAGTATCCGGATATTTAGGGGCCGAGACTGTCTGTCTGTCTGTTCTATGTTGACAGACGGAGGTAAACAGCCTATTCTAGAAGGGAGTTGCACAACGTATGCAGAGCTGCAGTTATATGGGAAAGGGCAGCAGTTACTCTCCCTACTACTCCTGATCGTCACCACGAAAGAGCCTACGCCCTACGTGCAGCGCAGTCGAATCAGGATAGCAGGCGCAATGCACATCTTCGGGAGCGCACTTTTCGCGTCAGCGGCTTCGGCCGCGGTGACGTTCACGGTCCCCAGCAAGTCCGGCGAGGGGGGTTACAAGTATGCGCCCGTGGATCCGGCGCCCGTTGGGATATCGTAAGTTCGCCTGTTCCTGTTCCTGTTCTTATTCCTCCTTCTCCTCCCTGCCCGCCGGCTCCAAGTCAGGCACCTAGGTAGCTCGCTGGCTGGCTGCCCTTTCCAAAAATGCCGGGAAGAATAACCACCACCTACTTGCATGTGAAAGGCCTGTCTAGAAGACTCGGACTGGCAGATGGGATGCTAAAAGAAACCAAAACCCACAAAGCTTCGAGTTCTTCGCCTTCCCGTCGTACTTCACCAACGTGACGGCGACGGAGCGGTGCCTGGCCAACTGGCGGGCGCTGACGGGCGCGTGGCCGCCGATCCGGGTCGGGGGCACGACGCAGGACCGGGCGCTGTACGACGCGGCGTCGGCGGCGTACGTGGAGTACAGCGTGGCGGACCCGCGCGACGCGCCCCTGGACCTGACGTACGGCCCGCGCTTCCTGGCGCTCGCGGGCGCGTACGGCGGCACCGTCGTCGTCGGCCTCAACCGCGGCCGCAACCAGCTGGCCAACACCGTCGAGGCGGCCAGGAGGGCCGTCGCCGAGGTCGGCGACCGCCTGCTCGCTATCGAGCTAGGAAACGAGCCCGAGTGTGCGTGTGTCCTGTCGTGTCTTGTCTTTTCTTGTGTAACAGTTGCGGCTTGGTTGGTGTAGGACTGGAGTGTCCCCTTTTTTACTGAAAGGAGACGAACCCCCCTTTCCCCCTCACCTAAAAAAGAAGTGGACGATGACAATCATGTGAGAAAGTTGGCTGGGGAAAAGGGGAGAAATGCTGGCTGACAAGAGAGTGTGCCCATCGTTCGCAGACTACGACCGCTCACCAGTACAGCCCATCGCCCAGTCCGGGTGGTCGCCTGAGATAGATGGCGCGTCCCAGAACAGCTGGGACGTGGCAGTCGGACAGGCGATAGGCAAGGAAGGGCTGATCCAGGTGAGAGAGCACCGAGCCCCTTTCCCTGTTACCCAGTTTGAAGACCCATACATGCTTCTAGATCACCTACCTATCCGTACCTATTTACCTACCCTTCTAATACTATAAAACCCTTACCCCCCCCCCCTTTCTTTTCCCCTCTCTTTCCACCCAGAACACACTTAAGGGGGAAGGAAAGAGGAGCTGTGAAAACTCATTGTAAAAAAGCACACGAATAACAAGACCCAAACTAAAAAAAACAAACAGGCCGGCAACTTCAACGACAGCCCACCCAAGTGGGGGCTGGCGCAGCTGATCGCAAAGCAGAACAGCACCGCCCGGGGCTATGTGGCCACCTACGCGCACCACAACTACCCGGGGGGCTCGGTGCAGGGGCTGCTGAGCCACAGCGGCACGGCGAGCAACGTGCAGTCCAAGTTCGAGGCGGATGTCGCCGCCGTGCGGAGCGAGGGCAAGCCGTACGTGCTGGGGGAGACGAACTCGGGTGAGTGAGCCGAGTTTTGGCATTTTTGCTTGATTAGGGTGTTGTCATCTTGTTCGTTTTCAGATGCTTTTCGAGTCGGGTGTTTGTGTACTTCTGCCTGGATTCGCTCTCTCCCTACTAATGACGACCCCCCTCTGTCGCTCGCCCCGTAATGAGTAGAAGAGTGGAGGAATAAAGAGGGGTGATAGCAGAGAAATGATATCTGCCTGCCAGACATCCTAGACGGCGAGCACAAAAGAAAGGGCTAACGAATACGGGGGGTTCATAACAAACAGTATCTGGAGGCGGAGCTGCCGGCGTGTCGCCCACGTACGGCGCGGCGCTCTGGACGATGGACTACGTGCTACGCGCCGTGTACACGGGGATCTCGCGGATCTACTTCCACCACGGCACCGTGGGAAACTGCCAGTACTGCTTCTGGGGAAGGTGAGTTCAGTTCGTCGAGTTGTCGATTGCAAGTATGGGTGGGACGCAACCCTCCCATGCCCCCTGTACTTATCTATCTATCTTGTCTACCCATCCGCTTCCCCATTGTCCATGATCGCGGACCACTCAGCTAGTCCAAACTAACCAGTCCTGCCCTGCCCCCCAAACGAGCAGATACTCCATGGGCGCGCCCTACTACGGCGCCACAGCCGCGACGGCCTTCCTAGCGGGATCGCAGACCATGACGGCGCTGGACGACGGCAGCAGCGCGTACGCGGCGTACGCGTCGTTCGACGCGGCGGGGCAGCCGCTGCGGGTGCTGCTCTTCAACTCGGACTACTTCGGGGGCGGCAGCAGCCGGAGCACGCAGTCCTTCGTCCTCCGGGGCCTGTCGTCGGCGGCGACGACTACTACTACCCTGAAAGCGAAGCGCCTCACGGCGCCCAGCGCCATGTCGCGCCAGGACCAGGGCGAGACGCCTACGTGGGGCGGCCAGACGTACGCCGACGGCACGTGCGAGGTCCAGGGCGGCGAGGCGCTCGAGGACGTCGCCGTCAGCGGGGCCGGGGAGGCAAGCGTCAGTGTCGGGGCGGCGGAGGCCGTGCTGGTTTATTTGCGGTGAAGTGGATGGGACAAAGGAGGGGGACGGGAATTAGCTATACTGCTCGAAGTTGTCCATTTACGAGTTGCATATTTTCAGGGGGCATCCAAACAAGAGTCTACGCGTTCCGTGCACTACCTAGTTGAAGTCAGGTATATCCGCGCCCTTAGCTTTATTTCACATTCCGCGGTTACAACTTATGAATGGTTGCCTTTAGCTAATTTCTAATTTGCTCCTCTTGTTAACGTTCTCTTGCACGCTCAAAGATGACCCATCTTCGTCGCAGCCCGGAAGCCGGTGCAGTCAGAGTTCGATTGCTTCTGTATGAAATGGTATTGTATTGGTACTGAAGCACTAGTGATGAGAGGTATAATCTATCGACGTGCCTGAGGCTGCAGTAGTGCCTCAATATCCGATCGGATTAAAGCCAAGGTGAGAAAGGATGTCGGGAAAGCTTCTCTTCTCAAGGAATTACTTCTTTTGCCTCTTGGCGCTCTTGTCACTAACAGAGCTCATGACACTAACACTTCGCTTACGCCCGCTGCGGCTTGTAGGGCGTTCGCCTTTCTCATCCGCTGTCTCCTGCTTGACGTCCGCTTGCTCCCCGTGACTGTCGATATCCATAGTGGAAGCGGTCCCTCCATCCCCCTCGTTTGTTTGAGTCGGCTGTTCGTTGGGTTGGCGCTCGGCCGTAGACTTGTCCTCGGATGATACGACATCGTCAACTCCAGTCGTGGCGCTTTCGGGCTGTTTGTCATCCTGAGGCTTAGACGCCTCTGAAGGCTTCTCTTCCTTATTGACTGTACTTGAGGGTTCCGGAGGAGCCAAATGCTTCTCCCGCTCTGCCTTCTTGGCACGCTCGACCTTGATCTCAGCCTCCACCTTATCATTCATCTTCCGCATGTCCAACAGTATGCCTATCGAGTTGAGTAATTTCTCCATCTCTTCAACAACTGCTTTCGTAGGCATGTTCAGACGACTGGGAATGTCCAGTTCGGCTAGCGTATTTGTTATCCTCTGGTGCTGAGCATGCGACTTGGTGGTCAGGATCTTGTTGATCCGCTCATAGCGGAAAGTTGGGCCAGAACCAAGTCGGTCGTGATACGAAACACCATAAACTTGTTTGTCTACTTCACTAAGCTGTTTGCGCTCTGGCTGCTGTGCGCCCTTCTTTGTAGGCTTCTCGGGCCGTTCACTATTACCGACAGAGTCGCGATGGGCGGTGGTAGTAGAAGCGGCGATGCTCTCCCGGCGAGACTCCGAAACCGGGGTAGAGGCCGGGAGTGCCGGCGCCTGAGCAGTTACCGGGGTGCTTGCTGCAGCATTCTCCATAATGGACTTGCGCTTCTTAGTCTTGTCCTGGGTCATGAGGGTCTGCAACAGAGTCTGCAGGCCAGTACTGGACTTGAAGGCGCTGATATCCTGGTCGGTGT